CTGTCCCTCAGCTCTTCAGCTCAAGGCTAGCGCTCTACCACTTGAGCCACAGCGCCACTTCCGGCTTTTTTCTTTTTGCTTATGTGGTGCTAAGGAATCGAACCCAGGGCCTCATGCATGCAAGGCAAGCACTCTACCACTGAGCCACCTTCCCAGCCCCTGATACTTTTCTTATGCACAAAAGATAACAACTCCTGTGTGTTTCTGACGTACTCCTTAGATAGGAAAGTTATTTAAGAGGTGACAAATATACTCAGGTGGCTGAGATTTGAGGATTAAGTTTTAAAGCTAGCAATACTCTTTATCTTATTAATCAACAAAAACCTAGAGGTAGATGTATAGCACCAGCTTTGAGAAAGAAAGCTAACAAGAGCTTGAGGCTCTGAGTTCAAGCCCCAGTTGTAGAATATACATGCCCATACAGAAAAGAGGTGATAATTGTGCCATGATCTGAATAAGATACCTTTAAGGTGCTTTCATGTAAAAATCTAGGGAAGAAGGTGGTGGTGGGGGGGTATGATTCAAGTTAATAGAGTGCTTAGCAAACACAAGGCTAGTGCTCTGTCACTTTGAGCCACAGCTCCACTTCCAGTTTTATTTTATTTATTTATTTTTTTTGATGCTTAATTGGAGATAAGAGTCTTGTAGACTTTTCTGCCTGGGCTGGCTTTGAACTTTGATCCTCAGATCTCAGCTTCCTTAACAGGATTACCTGTGAGAGCCACCAGCATCAGACTTCTTTGTAACTTTTTTTTTGGGGGGTCCAGTTGTGGGGCCTAACTCTGGGCCTGGGCGCTGTCCCTCAGCTCTTCAGCTCAAGGCCAGTGCTCTACCACTTGAGCCACAATGCCACTTCTGGCTTTTTTCTTTTTGCTTATGTGGTACTGAGGAATCGAACTCAGGGCCTTGGGCATGCAAGGCAAGCACTCTGCCACTGAGCCACCTTCCCAGCCCTTCTTTGTAACTTTTTAAGCCAGAGCATAATATGGTCTGGTTTGTATTTTATTTTGTTTATTTTTTTGGTTGTGGGGCTTGAACTCAGGACCTGGACACTGTCCTCAAATTTTCTCAATCAAGGCTAGTATCCAGCCATTTTAGACCACAGCTCTGCTTCCTTTTTTTTTTTTTGGTTGGTCGTGGAGCTGAACTCAGCCTGGGCGCTGTCCCTCAGCTCTTCAGCTCAAGGCTAGCGCTCTACCACTTGAGCCACAGCACCCCACTTCCAGCTTTTTCTGTGTATATGGTGCTGAGGAATCGAACCAGGGCCTCATGCATGTAAGGCAAGCAATCTACCACTGAGCCAGGCACCTTTTCAGCCATCATGCTTCCAATTTTTGAGTGGTTAATTAAGATAAGAGTCTCAGCCGGGCGCTGGTGGCTCATGCCTATAATCCTAGCTACTCAGGAGGCTGAGATCTGAGGATCGCGGTTCAAAGCCAGCTCGGGCAGGAGAGACCTTGAGACTCCTATCTCCAATAAAACCACTAGAAAACCGGAAGTGGCGCTGTAGCTCAAGTGGTAGAGTGCTCGCCTTGAACTGAAGAGCTGAGGGACAGCGCGCAGGCCCAGAGTTCAAGCCCCACGACCGACAAAAAAAAAAAGATAAGAGTCTCACAGAGCCAGACTATGGTGGCTCACGCTTGTAATCCTAGCTACTGAGGAGGCTGAGATCAGAGGATCTTGGTTCAAAGCTAGCCCGGGTAGAAAAGTCCGTGAGACTCTTATCTCCAATAAACCACTAGAAAACCGGAAGTGGCACTGTGGCTCAAGCAGTAGAACGCTCGCCTTGAGCTGAAGAGGACAGGGACAGCGCCCAAGCCCAGAGTTCAAG